CTTCTGCTTTTTGGAAGCATGTTTCCTTTTCGTCCTATTTCTTGTCGAACATGGTTGACTGTTTGTCCAAATTTCTTCTTTTAGGATCGGTTCCATGGTCTTGATTGCTTCCTTGCAGGTATCTTTATCTGGACTTCTTTTGATGGTTTATACTACCATATTCTGTAAAAGCACATGATGCTACTTCACGTATTTATGCTGTCGTAAATTGAAATGCTGCATATAAATCAGTTCTGATAGAACACGGTCCATTTCGTCTTGAAACTACTACTTCTACTATCTTAAAAGTTACATGATTTTAGTTAGTAGATGTGTATCAGCACAAGACTCTTTGAATATGGTAATATATATTCTCTTTTCGCTTTTGTAATATCCAGGTGATGATGTGAAAGAAAAAAAGCCTGATCCTTCAATATACATTACAGCTGCCAAGGTGATTAGTATTATATGTACTTGCACTTTCATACCGCGTATTATAACATTTATTGTATTTCTTGACATCTGGTTTGGTTATTGCCAGAAACTTGGCGTCTCAGAAAGCAATTGTTTGGTGGTAGAGGATAGTGTCATCGGGCTACAGGTTCATCTCCCAATTCTCTGTAACTTATATTTTAAAGTTCTTTCGAGAGGCTGTGTGTAGTTCGAAGTAGTAGCACTTTGATCTTCATCATATGGAAATTTAACGCCTATTTGTAACTCACCCTTATTAGTATACTAGTTCATGGGAACGTGCGTTGCACGTTTGTCCCATACAATTATTATAAAGTCGAATTATTATATAGAAAATATTGAAATTAAAAATATTAGTTTTACCAATTTATATTTTATTCATTAAATAAAATTCATAATAATCGAATAGTACATTGACCATCAAGCAAGAAATATGAAAAACTAATTATATTACTATAGCCTCTAATAATATGAATCTTTCTATATGACTTATCCTTAATAATCTCTCATTACGCTCCCATATCAGTAAGTACACAAATATATGTAGCTACTTAAAGAAACCATATCAGTAAGGAAATGATAAAAGAAAGAAAATATTTTAAAAACGAATATAAAAGTCATAAATTAGTAATTTCAGCACTAATAAAAGTAGACTTATAACATTCATAATTTCTTGATGATACCTTCTCCCGTAACCATTCAAAATTCAAAAGCCTTAATAATGATCCAAGTGCTTCACTCCTTATGAATGGTACATAGCATATAAATTTTAAAATAATTGAAAATCCAAAAAGAGCAAGAAAAAGTTAAATGATTTTCTTGACCACATAGTTATGCCCGTCACTTGGACTTCCTAAATACTATTAGTATAAAGTTTATATTTATTACCGAAAATTTTACAAATCTAAAATACCAAAAAGAAATTCTAAAGGTAAATAATTGTGGAATATGAAAGCAGTTTCACCACATTGAATTGAATGAATTAATGAGTGAGAACGTATTTGTTTTCTATTGTTTCATTTTAATGAAATATTATTAATAGATAGGTAAATTTACTTTTAATACCAATAATTAAAGGATTAGTGTTTAATTAAATACTCAAATGATTATTCAACCTATAAAGGATAATTTGTAATTCAACTTTTAACTTTTTTGTTCCCAATTTTAGTGTATATATATATATATATATATAAATAGATATTTCCATACGGTTAATGTGACAATAATCTGAAAAGAAATTTAGCTTATCAATTAAAAATTAAAAATTAAAATGACATAGAAAAAGAGAAGTAAACACAAGAATGAGGAAAATATGACAAAATAAGAGTATAATAATTGTTCCACAAAAATTCAGATATTTATAAACAATTGGAAAAAAAAAAGCAATCTAAAATGGTAAAGATAAAATTATGATACAGAATATCATTCTAATTAGGATCAAAGCAAATATTAATATTTCAAAACAAAAAAAAAAAAGTACTTGAAAATTGCCTAATAATTCACATCAACAGGAGGCAATTGGTAAAGAAAAATTACTTTTCCATGATACATATATATAGCTAAAGATTTATAGGATAAGATGAAAAGGTGAAGAGTTGTTTAAGTTAATTTTCAGAAGTTAGTGATCTTAGACATGGGGGAGAGGAAAGGTTGATTGTTTTTACTAATAATTCAATACATTTAATTACACTAATTACAGAGAAAGGATAACAAAGTTAATCCATTTAACCACACTAATTATTGAGAAAGAATAAAGAATAAAGGATAAACGCTTTAATTATCTATTTTTTTAATATAAAAACGCTTTATCTAATTAACAAATTTAATCCATTTAAACATAACCGTTCTTAAAAGAATTAGATAAAGCGTTTTTATATTAAAAAAAGTAATTCCTAACAACTTTCTATGAAATAATTTCTAACAATTTTCTATGAAATATTTTTGTCTATCAAAGTTTGACTTTACACCTTCTTATGTTTAGTATTTAGTATAATATAATATAATTATTACTTAGTATTTAAATAATTTGATACTTAATGATATATATATATGAGTAGAAAAAAATGGAATAGAAAATTTAATATCCCAAGGAATTTGAACCAGTGTGTCTAGATGCATGAATTTAATTAAAATTATTATCTAATATTTAATTAATTATATATATTAATATTTAATTTAGTTTAGGGATAAAATAAGGGTAGAATGGTAATTCAACTTTTAAGTTAGGAGCTTCCCACTTATAATAATATATGATCTTTGTCTTCTCGCGAAACTAATTTCATCTTCTTAATAGTCTTATATAGCTGATCAAAATGACATTGTTAGGGTCCGGTTATGTGAACATCAATGTTCATTATGTAACTGTTCTGTACTTGACCAATTTCTCAGGCTGCAACCGGAGCTGGAATGTCGTGTGTGATAACCTACACTTCATCTACCGCGGATCAGGTAACACATATCATTCTAGTCTTCCTTCCACGATTTCAATACCATCGACTCTCATCCTTAACGTAAATTTGCCATCATTATCGGACATGTTATAATGCTTCACAGGATTTCAAAGAAGCCATAGCTATCTATCCTGACTTGAGTGATGTTAGGTATGAAAACACACGTATATATCATTGTAGTATAATACTTTAACAAACTTATAGGAATGATGATTTATGACTAGTTACGTTTACTTGTTGCGTTCGTGCAGGTTTAATGATTTAGAGTCACTTCTTCAAGATGTTGTGGTCGCGAAGTAGGATAGAGGGACGGGTCCATTATACATAGAGTTTCGAAGCTGAAACAGCAGAGTCCTTGGTATCTGAAAAGAAGTTTTGGCAAGCTTGTATCATTTTTTGTTCTAAAATAAATTGTTCATAATTATTCATTTTGTGTAAAATAACAGTTAATCACATCACATTCATAGTAATATGTCTATATAATGTAATCTTATTTTTCAGTTCCAAGCACTGTTGCTTGTCTCTCATTACTCATGTCCTTGATTTAGTTGAGTCTTAATGTGCATACTGATTGAAAATCGAAAAAAAGTAAAAAAATTAAAATGACAATCTGACAACTCTTAACACTTGGTGGTCTACTTTTGGAAGACCATATATAATTATAACCAATGTAAGGCCAGGAACAGTTGCTCAAATAAAGCTTAGTTGATCGTACCACTATCGAGTCAACTCGAACAAGTATAACTTGACCCGATTTGATGGCCGATCCATTTTTGACTACGCATACTTCACAATAATTAGGATAGAATAGTATATAATATGTTTATTGAAGGATTAAAACACAACCGACCTTAGCTCAGTTGGTAGAGCGGAAGACTGTAGTGGGTGCAAGCCTGTCAGATAATCTTTAGGTCGCTGGTTCGAATCCGGCAGGTCGGATTTTTTTAATTTTTTCCCATGTTTCGACTTATTCGGATTTGCGTAGGAATATTTCACCTTGTGAGGTAAAACGATTTCATTTTCAGAGTTCGAACACAAAACGTAATCCATTTTGATACTTTCCAACTATTCCTCCATAGCCTAATATTTGAACCTAAATAATAAGCCATTTAGCACGAATATATTCTGAATTCACCAACGCTAGATCTTCGATATGTGTGATTGTGGGGTGTCTTGCACTACCACCAAGTTTTGCACCATTGTCAATCTGTCATTGTTATGCTTTGCAAGTCTCAACTAATAATTTTCTCAATTTGACATTAATTAATGTTCTTACAGACAAATGAAATAATATATGAGAAACGTTTAAACTTACGGAGAAGATACATATTTATTTGGTGAAACATCCAACAACAAAAATATATTTAGTATAGTTTCATAATTACGGTTTGAGGGAGGTGAAATATATGTAAATCTTACATTACTATCTTCATTGAGCAGAAATGTTATTTTCGATACACCCAAACTCAAATTGTGTTTTCATAAAAGTTAGAAAAAAATGAATCTGATGGAAAACTTATTTAATTTCCATCTCACTTTTTGACCACTGCATTTATTTTCTTTTTTCAAATTTAGACCATTTTTTTTGTATTTTATTAAAACTCCCCCATTTTTAGGGAAAAAAAATACGTAATACTTAAAAGATTTTGCAGAATCCTAGCAACATTAAGTAATTAACAAAATGTGTTATAACCTGGAATAAGCTTGTTAGCTAATTATGGCATTTGAATTGGTGAAACAACAAATTTGGGCATTTAAAAAGCAGATTTGATTGTATGTTAAAATTATATCTTATTAGAAAAAGTACATTTAATCAACCAAATATTCTTTGCAAAAAATATAATCAAACGTAACTCCAATTTAAAAATTCCAAAAAAAAGTGAAAAATATTTGATTTCTGTAGCCAAACGCCTACTAAATAGGTCTAGAAGGAAATAATTATGGTCACTAGAATGATTTTTTCTAGTCATTTGCCTGGATCTCTTGGCTATCTAACTTCATTGCATTATTTGTCGCTTGATTCTTGCAATCTCTCAGGATCTATTCTTGAATCTCTCTCGAATCTCACCCACACAGAGTATTCGTTCATTAAAGGTTACTCCCTGAACGGAACAATACCATCCTGGATATTCTCCCTTCCATCACTAAGTTATTTAGACCGACTACAGAGTCCTCTACCCATGATTGGGGTTTCGTAAATGTAACTTAAGATCAAGTCGCGTTAGGTTCATAAGGTTTTGAATCGACTCAGGAAGAGGACCTTACAACTTGAAACTCTGAGCCTAAATAAGTTAGTGATGGAAAGGAGAATATCCAGGATCGTATTGTTCAGTTCAGGGAACTACCTTCAAAGAACAAATACTCTGTGCAGGTGCTCATGAATAGGCACAGAGAGATTGCAAGAACCAAGTGACAAATAAATGCAATGAAGGTAGATAACCAAGAGATTCAGCCAAATTACCAGGAAAGTCCTCCAATGTAATGTCGTCTTCACGCGTTTTAATCCAGCTTGTGGCTGTTGCCATTACTGTCGTGTTTAGTATGAGGGCGCGAATCAAGAAGGAATGACTTCAACTGTTTGAAAAGCTCCTTCGGTTTCTCTATGTTAATTGCATGTCCTGCATCCTTTATTATAACAAGTTCCGCGTTCTCACTTAAATGCCTGCACCATCAAAGCAAGTTCAGACAAAAACGCAAAGCTAGTCGTTTAATGCTTGAGCTAGTCTAGTTTTGTAAGGTTTGACCTTTTTAATCTGTGAGCCAATTCTAGTGGGAATATCTGATCATATTCTCCCCATATTATCAATGTGGGCTACATAAGGGAGGTGAATATCATATCAGTAAGAGAAGTAATAACAATCGATAATTGTTGAACCTTAAGTAGTGCAGAGACGAGACCATAGATTATACGAACCTGAGTAATCTTAGGAAGATCAGAGAGCTTTCTGTTATAGTGTAATGTTTCGATCAACTCCTTTCTTTCTTGATGATTGACTGTGCACATCACCTGCCACACAACAAGGTGGGAAAACACGTAAATACCAACTTTAGGTTGAACAATCGTGACATATATACAAACTTCTTGTACTAATGAGAAGCCAAACATAGATGTAAATTCGAAGTTGGATCAAAGTTTAATTGATCAATTTGCTAAATGTCGACAGCATTCTCATCTAGCTTCTGTGAAAATTCTACTAACTGAAAGCCTCAGTGTTCATCTCACTGAAACTCCTCTCGTGCAAAAGCTAGAGGTGATCACTTAATTAAACTAGTGGAGAAAGTGCATGCTATAGTAATTGTATAGAACTCCATAGTACATGCTTCCATTTATCACCTCCACAAGTCGATACTACGAGAAAACTTTTTTCTCACTACTAACATACATGAGAAAACTCCATCTCCAAACAACTAACATATTGTAATTCCACAAAGTGGGGTCGGAGGAGGGTAGAGCGTACACAAGCCTTACCCCTACCTTGGAGTTGGAGAGGTTGTTTCCGAGAGCCAAAACTAAAATCCTTAAAAAGGTCATTACATAACTCCATATCACTGGTGAACAACACACTAAGCAGTAGCTTTGAGTGGAAATTCATTCTTGGGACAAAACAAGATAAGACATTTTATTAACGTTTTCAAAACTATATCATTGGAAAGAACCAACAGTAGCCGACCTTAGCTCAGTTGGTAGAGCGGAGGACTGTAGTATGGTGTAAACCTTTCAGATATCCTTAGGTCGCTGGTTCGAATCCGGCAGGTCGGATTTTTTCTTTTGCCATTTTTTTTTACTTGTAAGGAACTTACCATATAATATACTCCTACTCTTGCAAGTGGTACATGAAAAGAGTTTACTACCATTTTCTTTGGTAATAGCAGCTTATAATATATATTTTTGTGTCAGTACAGTGAGATTCCCTGTAATCTCCAATTTCTTAATCCAGACAGAGGCTTAAGATTTCAGTAAAAAATCAAGACTCACAATAACTGACTTCTCTAAAAACCAATATAAGAGAACAAGCACTCAACAGTCACAAATGTCTTGATATACCAACCGTATAACAAGTTTCGAGAATATATACTACACATGATATTTGAGGAAGAGAAAAAGGGGCACCAGGGTGGTGGAGGGGAGTGAGAGTTTATAAAGACAAACAGGCAGCAAGAACTTTAAAACGGATACGTAGGCATGAAAGTGCAGAAAGAATGCCTAGAGAACAAGTAGTGGTGCAAAAGGAAAAACACGAGAGCAAATAACTAGAAGGATGCAATGCACAAAGATCATGATAATATGGGCTTCTATGAAGCAGAAGTAGTTGAAGAAATAATGTACACTTAAGTCCAAAATGTAGATAAAGTCACCAAACATCTTATAAACAACTTTAAATGTTTATCCCTGAACTTCATATTTTTAAAAATTGTAGATGGAAGACGAAATTCATTCTTGGAACTCACAAACTAAGATCACCTTATAATGTTATCAAGACTCCAAGCATTAGAATAAGTTCCCCTTCTTTTACCTTTTATTGATGAGTAAATAAAAAAATGCTCATGCTCATGCAATAGGCATTCTTGATAAATGATAACACTGATGGACAATATTCAGCAGTGCTTTGAGAGGGAATTCATTCTTGGAACAAAACAAGATAGACATTCTTTAATGTTTTCAAAACTATAGCATTGGAAAGAACCAACAACAACCGACCTTAGCTCAGTTGGTAGAGCGGAGGACTGTAGTGGGGTGTAAACCTTTCAGATATCCTTAGGTCGCTGGTTCGAATCCGGCAGGTCGGATTGATTCTTTTTTCTTTCTATTTTTTTAAAAAAGAATTATTTTATTCTGGAGAAGAGGGCTTTGTCATATAATATAATCCCACTCTGACAAGAGTGCATGAACATTATTTATTATCATTTCTTCAGCAATAGCAACCTATATAATTTTATTGTTGTGTCAGTAGTGTAAGATTCCCTGCCATCTCCAATTTTACAATCCAGGCAGAAAACAAGCACTCAACTCTCACAAATGTCTTGAAATACCAATCATTTATCGAATTTCAAGAATATATACAGACATATAAGATTTGATAAAGGGTGGTGGAGGGGAAGGAAAGAGTTAACATACACAAACAGACAACAACTTGAAACCAATACTATGCATGAAAATGCACAAGGAATACCTAGAGATGAAGTAGTGGTGTAAAAGGAACAACACGAGTATGGTGTAAAAGGAACAACATGAAAATACTTAAAAAGGTCATTGCATAACTCCATATCACTGGTGAAAAACATTAAGCAGTAGCTTTGAGTGGAAACTCATTCTTGGAACAAAACAAGATAAAGACATTTTATTAACGTTTTCAAAACCATATCATTAGAAAGAACCAACAGCAACCGACCTTAGCTCAGTTGGTAGAGCGGAGGACTGTAGTGGGGTGTAAACCTTTCAGATATCCTTAGGTCGCTGGTTCGAATCCGGCAGGTCGGATTTATTCTTTTGCCATCTTTTTTTTATATATGTAAAGGACTTACCATATAATATACTCCTACTCTAGCAAGTGGTACATGAAAAGAGTTTACTACCATTTTCTTTGGTAATAGCAGCTTATAAAATATATTTTTGTGTCAGTACTGTGAGATTCCCTGTAATCTCCAATTTCTTAATCCAGACAGAGGCTTAAGATTTCAGTAAAAAAAACAAGACTCACAATAACTGACTTCTCTAAAAACCAATATAACAAAACAAGCACTCAACAGTCACAAATGTCTTGATATACCAACCGTATAACAAATTTCGAGAATATATACTACACATGATATTTGAGGAAGAGAAAAGGGGCACCAGGGCGGTGGAGGGGAGTGAGAGTTTATATAGACAAACAGACAGCAAGAACTTTAAACCAATACTTAGGCATGAAAATGCAGAAAGAATGCCTAGAGAACAAGTAGTGGTGCAAATGGAAAAATACAAGCGCAAATAACAAGAAGGACACAATGCACATAGATCATGATAATTTAGCCTTGGTAGATAAAGTCACCAAACATCTTATAACCAGCTTTAAATGTTTCTTCCTCAACTTCATATAAGCATTAGCATGAGTTTCCCCTTCTTTTACCTTTTTTGACAAGTAAAAAATGCTCATGCAATAGGCATTCTTGAGAACACTGATGGACAATATTCAGCAGTGCTTTGAGAGGGAATTCATTCTTGGAACAAAACAAGATAGACATTCTTTAATGTTTACAAAACCATAGCATTGGAAAGAACCAACAACAACCGACCTTAGCTCAGTTGGTAGAGCGGAGGACTGTAGTGGGGTGTAAAACCTTTCAGATATCCTTAGGTCGCTGGTTCGAATCCGGCAGGTCGGATTGATTCTTTTGCCATGTTCTTTTTCTATTTATTTTTTTAAATCATTGTTTTATTCTGGAGAAAAGAAGCTTGCCATATAATGTACTCCCACTCTGACAACAGTATTTAATATCATTTCTTCAGCAATAGCAACCTATATAATTTTATTGTTGTGACAGTAGTGTGAGATTCCCTGCAATCTCCAATTTTATAATCCAGGCAGAAAACAAGCACTCAACTCTCACAAATGTCTTGAAATACCAATCATTTATCAAATTTCAAGAATATATACAGACATATTAGATTTGATAAAGATAGGGGAACCAGGGTGGTGGAGGGGAAGGAAAGAGTTAACATAGACAAACAGACAACAGCTTGAAACCAATACTATGCATGAAAATGCACAAGGAATACATAGAGATAAAGTAGTGGTGCAAAAGGAACAACACAAGAACAAATAATTGAATGGATGCAATGCACATAGTTCATGGTAATTTGCGCTTCTGTGGAGGAGAACTGGTCTTCTATGCAGCAGAACTAGTTGAAGAAATAATGTACACTTTAGTCCAAAAGGTAGATAAGTCACCAAATATCTAATAAACAACTTCAAAGTTTCTTCCACAACTTCATATTCATTAAAAATGTAGACGGAAGACGAAATTCATTCTTGGGATTCACAAAGTAAGATCACCTTACTTATAATGTTATCAAGACTCCAAGTCAAGGTAAGCATTAGAATGAGTTCCTCTTCTTTTACCTTTTCTTGATAAGAAAAAAAAAAGTGATCATGCTCAAGCAACTGATGGACAATATTCAGCAGAAAATTCATTCTTGGAACAAAACAAGATAGACATTCTTTAATGTTTTCAAAACTATAGCATTGGAAAGAACCAACAACAACCGACCTTAGCTCAGTTGGTAGAGCGGAGGACTGTAGTGGGGTGTAAACCTTTCAGATATCCTTAGGTCGCTGGTTCGAATCCGGCAGGTCGGATTGATTCTTTTTCTCTTTTTTAAAAATAATTATTTTATTCTGGAGAAGAGGGGCTTGCCATATAATATAGTCCCACTCTGACAACAACATTTAATATCATTTCTTCAGCAATAACAACCTATATAGTTTTGGTGTTGTGTCAGTAGTGTGAGATTCCCTGCAATCTCCAATTTTATAATCCAAGCAGAAAACAAGCACTCAACTCAAACAAATGTCTTGAAATACCAATCATTTATCGAATTTCAAGAATATATACAGACATCACATTTGATAAAGAAGGGGGAACCAGGGTGGTGGAGGGGAAGGAAAGAATTAAATACACAAACAGACAATAACTTGAAACCAATACTATGCATGAAAATGCACAAGGAATACCTAGGGATAATTGGTAGTGCAAAAGGAACAACACGAGAACAAATAATTAGAAGGATGCAATGCACATAGTTCATGTTAATTTGCACTTCTTTGGAGGAGAACTGGTGGAAGAAATATTGTAAATTTCAGGCTAAAAGGTAACCAACAACAACAACATACCCATTGTATTCCCACAAGTGGGGTTTAGGGGAGAGTAGAATGTATGCAAACCTTACCCCTACCTTGTGGAGAATAATAGGTTGTTTCCAGAAGACCCTCGGAACCAATCATTTTATAAACAATTTTAGAATTTTCTTCCTCAACTGCATATATATGAAATTGGAGATGAAAGACAATATTCATTCTTGGAACTCACTAAGATTACCTTACAATGTTTTCAAGAATCCAAGGAACAGGCAAGATACGCATTTCATGTTTTCAAAACTACAGCATTGGGAAGAATCAATAGAAACCGACCTTAGCTCAGTTGGTAGAGCGGAGGACTGTAGTGGGTCTAAAACCTATCAGATATCCTTAGGTCGCTGGTTCGAATCCGGCAGGTCGGATTGATTCTTTTTGCCATGTTCTTTCTCTTCTTTTTTTTTAATAACTATTTTAATCTGGAGGAGGGGTTTGCCTTTTAATATACTCCCATTCTGACAAGAGGTGCATGAAAAGAATTTATTACCACTATCATAGGCAATAGCAACTTATGGAAATAATGTTCATGTGTGAGTAGTGTGAGATTCCCTGCAATTTCCAATTTTTTAATCCAGGCAGAACATAGACCCATAACAACTAGTTTCTCACACAAATGTAAGAGAAAAACAAGCATCCAACTGTCATACATGTCTTGAGATACCAACCATCTATCGAATTTCAAGAGTACATACTACATATAGTATTTGAGAAAGAGAAACGGGGCAATAGGGTGGTGGAGGCGAAGGAAAGAGATGATATAGACAAACAGACAGCAAGAACTTTAAAATGATATTAGGCGTGAAAATGCAGAAAGAATGCCTACTTGTTAAAAAAATGCAGAAGGAATGCCTAGAGAACAATTGATGGTGCAAAAGGAACAACATGAGAGCATGTAATTAAAAGGATGTGGCCTAGTGGTCAATGAAGTGGTTGAGAGCCATGAAGTCTTAGGTTCATTTCCCATCGGAGACAAAAAAAACACTAGGTGATTCTACTCATTTGTCCTAGCCTTGGTAGACAAATGGGCCTCATTGAAGCAAAACTACACAAGTCATTTTCTTGGAACAAGTCAAGATAAACATGTTCAATGTTTTAAAAACAACAACATTGGAAAGAATCAATAACAACCGACCTTAGCTCAGTTGGTAGAGCGGAGGACTGTAGTGGGGGTAAAACCTATCAGATATCCTTAGGTCGCTGGTTCGAATCCGGCAGGTCGGATTTTGATTATTTTTTTGTGCCATCTTTTTCTCCTTTTTCTTTTTATAATTTTTATTCTAGAAAAGAGGGTATAAATATTTTTTATAATTTCTATTCTAGAGAAGAGGATATTCATATAATATTCTCTCATCTGACAAGTAATGCATGAAAAGAATTTATTATCATTTTTCTTGGAAACATCACCTTATAAAAATATTCTTGTCTCAGTAGTGTGAGATTCCCTACAATCTGCAATTTCTTAATCCACGCAGAGGCTTAAAATTTCAGTAAGAAACCCACAGACACACCAACTAGCTTATATATACCAATGTAAGAACCAACAAACAACCAATTGTCTTTAATGTCTTCATATACCAATTATATATCAAATTTCAAGCTATATTGCTCTTACTCTCGTTTTTGAAGAGTCCAACAACATAGATTTCAAGATTATATACTACATAATAATTTTGAGAAAGAGAAAGGGGGCACAGGTTTGCTGCAAAAGAAACATTTACATGAAAGCAAATAATGAGAAGGATGCAATGCACATAGATCATGACAACTTGTACTTCTTTGAAGCCAGAACTGGTCGAAGAAACAATATACACTTCAGGACAAAAGGTAGATAAGTCAACAAACATCTTAGAAACAACTTTAAGAAGTTCCTTCCTCAACTTGATATATTTGAAGTTGTAGATGGAAGACAAAATTCATTCTTGGAACTCTCTAAGTAAGACCACCTTACAATATCATCCAGATTCCAATACACAGGCAAGACCAAACAACAAACAAACAAATCCTGATTTTCGTACATCAATATAAGGAAGAAAACAACTATCCAATTGCCACAAATATCTTCAAATACAGATATTCAGATTTTCATATAGCAATATAAGGAAGAAAACCATGATCCAACAGTCACAAAATCTTCTAATACACATTGATCAAAGTCTTGAGTCTGCATTGGCATAGTATTTGGAAAAAAAAAAAAAAAGGAAGAAAAGAGTTTGTAGCAAAGAGATAGATAGACATCAAATCTTGAACTGCAAGCTTTAAGCGAATGAAATGCAGAGTCATACAGAAAAAGTCATGGTGCAAAAGCACACCATGAGGGCAACAAGTATGATTAACAGAACCAGTTGAAACAACTAATAACATTCTTCATGCCAAAATCTAGAATATACATTCTTGGAATCCAGAAGTTTATATCCCTCAAATTCATTTTTTGTGACATGGTGGATGGAGAATATACATTCTTGGAATTTAATAAGATAGATCACTTCATCATATTATTAACTAGGAAGGATTTATATGCAACCGACCTTAGCTCAGTTGGTAGAGCGGAGGACTGTAGTGGGGGTAAAACCTATCAGATATCCTTAGGTCGCTGGTTCGAATCCGGCAGGTCGGATAAAAATGTTTTTTTTTCCGATAATTTTCTTTTGGCAACTTTTTGGGGGAGGGTAGAGTGTGCCCAAACCTTACCCCTACCTTTGAGAAGGTAGAGAGGTTGTTACCGAAAGACTCGGCCAAACAAATAATGAAAAAGAGGCAATAGCAACACAAAAACAACAAGATAATCAAATATCAAGCCAAAACAACAAGTAGTGATAGAAATCTAAAAATAAGCGAAAGAAACGAATATCACTAAACTCTGGGAAAAGGGAACGACTTCTAACTAACCTTATACCCTGATCCTCGACCTCCTCATGAGGTACACATAAGCTTTTTTTATAATAGTAAGCATGAGACTGATTTATAATCCTCAATTCTTCAAGAATACTACTTTCCCCTCCAAGCAAACAAAATAATCACCAATAAATTCAAGACACAACACATAAACTTCCTTTGCTCTAAAACAAAAAAGATTCAATCTTTATACCTAATACTCAACCTGCACAAACACTAGTTAGATAGTCATGTAAACAGAAACAAATTCCAACATAAAAATAAGGATATATAAGTGGGAAATCAAGACTTACATCAATAAAATCATTGAGAAAACAAGAAGGAAGATTCTTGATAGGCTTGTAAAAAGACAATTTCACCAACTCTCTCAACTTTTCAGGACTCTGTGGCAACAAAATTGAAACAGCCTCATCAACACTCTTCACTTGAAACATCCCATTTTCCATATCTTTTTCCTCAAAACAAACACCACAACACACAAGAACCAGTTTCTCCACTACCTCAGGAAACTGAACAGCCATACTATACCCCACAAAACCACCATAACTCAACCCTACAACATCCATTTTCTTAACCCCATAACCCTCCATAGTCCTCATAACACACTCAGCCTGAAAAGATTCAGTTCTTTCTGACCTAGAAGTGTAAGATTCACCAAAAAACAACAAGTCAGGGACATAAAGATTGAATCTTGATGATAAGGGTTTGATGAATTCACTCCATTGCCACATAGCATTAGCTCCAATCCCATGGATGAGGACTAAAGAGGACTTTTTTTCTTTATGGGTTTTGGGTATCCAGCAGTGGATTGTAGTACCATTGCCTAAATCTGTGGTGGAAGATTTTAAACCAGAATTTGAAAAAGAGTATTTGAGGAACCAGTTTCTTGATGCAGTGAAGCTAAAACAGTTGGACTTGGCCATGTACTATTGGGAAACTATGACTTATGAGCTCCATAAACCTATAAAGAATCAAAGAATCATGAGATTTTGCTGGATTCCAATACCTTAATGGACAAAAGAAAGAATTGAGGGGAGAAAAAAAGTGTTTTTTAAGGAATGTATAGTGGGATTTTGATGTTTGTTCTTGTCAGAGTATGCTTTACTAGTTAATTTATTGATTCTTTTTAGAGTATTTTGTTATATATTTCCTTTACTCATTATATTCTTGTCACACACTTGCTTCAAATCTCAATGATTGATGTTTTGAGGGTCCCAATAGGTTAAAAAATAAAATAAAAACTAATTAGCCTTCTTTTGCTATATTTAGTGGTAGGCCGGTGATCGTGGATAAAATGATGATAAATATTAGAGAGAAGTATTGAAAATATTCTGAATTTGATGTAACTATTAGTTTCATCCTCGATTTATTGATAGTCGTATAAATACCTCTATTTGACTAATTAAATATAGATTTGTGCACTCTTATTTGTTACATAACATAGAAAGTGGTCTCAAATTTTTGTAGTAGCATGAATCTCTTAATAAAAAATCGACAAAGTGTTGAAAATAATCCTAAACTTCACGATAATTTAGGGATGTATTTTACTCATGTTGCAGGATTAGGAGTGTATTTAAGTTCAGTTACTCAAATAAAATGATATTTTTAAGGTTGTCAATAATTTAAGGATGAAATTAATAATTTTGAGTTTAGGGATATTTCAGTACTTCTCTTTAAATATTATGCACACAAGAAGCAAGGTTTTTTATTTTAAACTTTATGATGATTAAGATCTATTCATACATACAAATTAATAAAAGTAAATGTATTTATAGTGACTACAAATTTGAACCATTCAAATTCAAAAATCTATTAAGTGCAAACAAATGAAAGCTCAATAAATATAGGGTGATTGATATAGGAAGAAAAACTATTAAATTAGACCAGAATAAATTAAGATAATTTGATTAAATTATTCTTTTCGATAATATTTTCTCAAGGGACATAAAAAAATTATGATAAGTAAATTGGGCATGAAAAAATACTTAGTTTTATTTAATACTCACTCCATCCCGTTTTGATTGTTACTTTAGCTTAAAAGAATTATTCTAAAATAATTATCGCTTTATGAATTTAAGATTAAAATTTAAAAATATTTTCAATCATACTCTTAATATTAAAGACGTAATTCTTTTTAAAACTACTTCATTATCAAAAACCATTTAATAAATAGGATAATAATAACTAATACCTTGTAAAAAAAATTAATGGACATGGAAAGAGTTAAAAAGACAATTAAAATAGGACGGAAGGAGAGACACTTAAATATGGACAAAAAGATAAATTTAAAAGTTGAAATAATTGGTGGGGAAACCATTTTTTTGTTTGGTGGAAAATAATTGCATTTTTTTCACTTGTCCTTATTGAAAATGATATTCTACCTAAACAATAATTGAAAAAATTGAACCACAACAACTTTTCCAAAATGTATTTTCGGAGAAAATGTTTTGTCAACAATTTTGTCAAAACTGAAAATAAATCAATGGATGTGAAATTCCCTTATTTTTATGGTTAGGATTAAAGGTGGACATGTACGATAGATACTATTATAATATTATAACTAAAATTTTAATACCATGATTCTGTATTACAATATTTAATATGTATTTTATTTATCCGATTTGATACGGTATTCAATTTTATAAAAGAAACCTCAAATATTATATAGAAGGTCTGAAGTATAGAGTTATATATATATATATATATATATATATATTATTATTATGATACTAATAAATATACGAATTAGTATTGGTACACAAAAATTTGTTTATGCGATATTGAAACTTTGACTATTCTATCTTGATTTAAATGTTTTATTTATGTAATTACTTAACTAAAAATAATTACTTTTACTTTCTTTTGAATATTTCTATATGTGTAAAATGTTAGTTTGATATAATTGAAACGTTTTTTGAAAATCAAAGTCATAATTCTCTACTATATGAGTTTATGTAAGTCAAACAACATATACAAATTATTGAATTTTTTTTTAAAATATCAAATTAATTTAAAATGATAATAATATAATATTTTTATAAACGAATTAAAATTTCAATATTGTATCATACCAAAAATTCAAAGATTGCAAGGCAACTAAGTTCACAATTTTCAAATTAATCAGTATGTTTTAACTTTCTATAGTAGTAGGGTTTTGAGGGGAATAATGGAACCCCAGTATAGTTAAGATGTGTCACTAAGATTTAATTATAGTTCAGGATATATTTATGCTTTATTCCTAAATTGTTATACGATGAATAATAATAATAATAATAATAATAATAATAATAATAATAATAATAATAATAATAATAATAATAATAATAATAATAATAATAATAATAATAATAATAATAATAATAATAATAATAATAATAATAATAATAATAATAATAATAATAATAATAATAATAATAATAATAATAATAATAATAATAATAATAATAATAATAATAATAATAATAATAATAATAATAATAATAATAATAATAATAATAATAATAATAATAATAATAATAATAATAATAATAATAATAATAATAATAATATATTAATGATAGAGAAAAACAATTTCAAAATAATGATCTACAATATCTCAAATGTTGTGAACTAGTAAATATTTTTTTAGAATTGTTTAAGTTAAACAAAAAAGGGTCAAACCCTGATCAACAAATAAAATTTAATGGAAACTCATTGCTTGAAATTTTAATAGAAAAGATTTAATTTTTCTCTCAAAACTAGGGTTTGATTTGGGAGGATGGATTGATGGTTAGCAAGAATGAGTTAGTGGGAATCTTAGTTGGCGGCCATGTCATTAAAAAATTGGGGTGTTAACTCTTGAGCATATTTATGGTCTCTTGGGATAACAACGAGATATTTTTGATCCCAAAATGTAATGGAGGTATAAGTAATCTATTTCGCATAGTTTAGGAGAAATTTTGACCCTTTTCCGTAAGTTAAATAATAGTCTTAAACCGTTTTTAAAAGTAAAATTCATATTACCCCATTTCCTGTTTTTGCTTCAATTGGCTCATTGTACACTCTCTCCATGTTCAGAACTAAACTTCAAAATCTTCACCATAAAATCAACACATTCCTCTCCATTAATGGCTTTTCTTCAAACCTCAAATCCCTTCTTCAATCCCACGCCTTCATAATCACAACTGGTCATACCCACAACGTGTACATAGCAGCAAAGCTTATCTCTCTTTATGCTTCGAACAATAACCTCATTTCTTCAAGAAAAGTGTTTGATTTCATCAATTTTAAAGACCCTTTTCTTTGGAATTCGATTATCAAAGCTTATTTCTCTAATGGGAAATACACAGAATCGCTTGAGCTTTACTCCAGTATGCGGGGTTCTAATGCTCTGCCTAATCAGTTTACCATACCAATGGTTGTTTCTGCTTGTGCGGAACTTGGGTTGGTTGAAATTGGGATGGGGGTTCATGGGTTGGTGTTAAAATTGAATCTTTTTGATGGTAATAGTGCTGTTGGAGCTTCGTTGGTTTTTATGTACTCGAAATGTGGGGTTATGGAGTATGCGTCTGATGTGTTTGATGAAATTCCTGTGAGAGATGTGGTGTCTTGGACTGCGATTATAAAAGGGTATGTAGAGAATGGACAGAGTGGTAAAGGGTTGGAGTATTTTTGTTTGATGTGTAAGAATGGAGAAGGTGAGGTGAGGCCGAATTTTCGGACGTTGGAGGGTGGATTTCAAGCTTGTGGGAATTTAGGTGCATTGGTAGAAGGTAAGTGTTTTCATGGGTTGGCAATGAAATCTGGTTTTGGTTGTTATCAAGTTGTTCAGTCTTCTGTTTTGTTAATGTACTCGAAATGTGGTTCAGTTGAAGAAACTTATAGTTCGTTTTGTGAGGTTGATGAGAAGGATTTGTTATCCTGGACGGTAGTAATTGGCGTTTATGCAAAATATGGGTGTATAGATGAATGCATTGATATGTTCTTGAAAATGCTGGCTAGTGGGATATCCCCAGATGGGATGGTGATTAGTTGTGTACTTTCTGGTCTAGGTAATGCCGCGATGATTTCTGAAGCTAAGACTTTTCATGGATTCATCTTGAGAAGAAACTATGATGAGGATCACATGGTTAGTAACACATTACTGGCCATGTATTGTAAGCTTAGACTCTTGAATTTGGCAGAAAAGATATTTAATAGAGGGAATGGACAAAACACAGAGGCTTGGAACGTGATGGCGATTGGCTATTGGAAGGACGGATTAGAAGCCAAGTGCATTGATTTATTCAGAGATATGCAATACTTGGGAGTTGAATCTGATGTCAACAGCTTGATATCTGTGATTTCTTCTTGCTCCCGGTTGGAAAAACTTCGTTTAGGTCAATCTCTGCATTGTCATGTTATAAAAAATCTGATGCTTGGAAATGTTTCTGTCTCCAATTCTCTAATAGATATGTATGGAAGAAGCAAGAATCTAACTTTATCGTGGAGAGTCTTCTGTATGATGACTGATAAGGATGTTGTTACGTGGAACACAATGATGACTTCCTCTATTAGTTGTGGAAAAATTGCGGAGGCCTTTGGTCTTTTTGATGAAATGAGAGCAGAAAGTTACAAGCCTAATATTGCAACGCTGGTGATTTTGCTCTCTGCTTCTTCTCAAGTATCTTCCCTGGAGAAAGGAGAGAAAGTTCATCAATACATCAAGGAAGTTGAGTTCGGAAAGAATACTTTGCTTGATACTGCATTGACTGATATGTATGCAAAATGTGGACAGCTAACAAAGTCCAGAGAAATATTTGATTCAATGGAAAAGAAAGATATCGTTTCTTGGAACGTACTGATCTCAGGCTATGCTATGTATGGAGAAGCAAATTATGCTATAGAAATGTTCAAAAAAATGGAACAGACGAAAATTAAGCCAAATGAACTGACTTTTCTTGCTGTGCTCTCTGCGTGTGCTCATGCAGGGCTGGTTGAAGAAGGAAAGACCATATTTAGAAGAATGAAAGATTCTTCCTTGCTGCCCACACTGAAGCACTATTCTTGTATGGTTGATCTTCTTGGTCGTTCTGGTAATTTGGATGACGCTGAAACTTTGGTTTTGTCCATGCCAATTGCTCGAGATGCAGCTATTTGGGGTTCTTTACTAAGTTCTTGTAAACTTCACAGTCAGGTTGAGAAGGGTATAAGAATTGCAAAACATGCTATTGAATCTGACCCGGAAAATGATGGGTACTATATAGCAATCTCAGACCTATATAGTTCTGTAGGAATGTGGGAAGAGGTAGAAATTGTGCGGAAAATAATGAAGGACAGGAAAGTGAGGAAAGAAGTTGGCTGGAGTACAGTATAAATCTATTTCTTGGGAGTCTTTAGCAACTCAAGTTATGGTAGTATTAATGTGATGAAGATTTGGTGCGACTAAAGGTTTTACACTTGCAAGAGTTGTTCAATTAGTGCCATTTTTCTGCTCCATAATTTGCTTCACTTGCTGAGAAACAATGGCTGATCTATGGTTGCAATTGCATTGCGAGCCTATCATTTTTCTGGCTGATGATAGTAATCTGGTTTTGGCTTTGCATGATGAACAAATTGTAGTTTTCTCATCCTTTGAAGTTCAACCCTTCAACAATGTATCTTACAACAACAAAAACAACATAACCAGTGTAATCCCACAAGTGGGGTTTGGAGAGGGTAGAGTGTATGTAGTAGACCTTACCCTCCTATCTTGGAAGGTAGAAAGATTGTTTTCGATAAACCTGTGTATCTTGCATACGAGAAAGGAGAAACTTTATGTTCTCCGTCACTAGATACATTGGACACCACCAAATGTAAATATGATTGCACAGTCCAGGACAGCAGTACTGTACTTATACCAGACAATTTTGAGTTTTGAAGCTTTATTTTTTCACTTTCTCATAGGCAAGTTAATTTTGAGTTTTGAAGTTATATGAGGAAATTGATGTATGTCTTATGAAATAAGTAACTAATACATGCATTATCTTAACCAACTATCAAACCAACTATCAAACGACCCCTTACTTCTCAAGTGTTAGAACTTTACGAGCCCTTCAATTGCATCCCATAATAAAATCTCTCTTCGATAAACATCTCATCGCGATTCGATTTAAAACATCACACATAAAATTACAATTCCATGCAACAAAAACCTTCCTTTCATTACCAAAAATAAAATAAAAATCACAAAACAACAACATATCAAAAAAAAAAAAAAAAACTACATTTGCCTATTAGCAGCTTCAGTAACAAAAGGTAAATAAGGAGTTTTTCCAAGTATAGAAGAAACAAGCCCATAAACAAAACAGCCCACAACAAACACAAAAAGCCCATTATGCATCCAAACCGTAAATTTCAGCCCAATACCCGATTGACCCGGTGAAAATATCCTCTGAATCAACATCGGAAGCACCAGTAGAACGTCGAGCACCACCGCTTGCAGGGCGTTGAACCGGGGGTACTTGTTCAGATTCTCATTCCGAGCAATACCTAAGTAGAGAGCAAAGAAAGTGACGAAGCTAGCGTAAGGGAGAGAGCGGTAGAGTGATAGAAGTGGGAGAATTGGTTGAAATGGAAGAGCTAGGGCTGGGAATTGAGCGAAAAGGAAACGGCCGTATTGAAGGCCGTTGAAGAAGGGGAGAAAGTAAGCGACGGCGGAGATAAGGCGGTCGGTGGCGGGGATTGGGTTGTAAGAGGCGGAGATGGAAGTGGGTTTGGTATGGATACGGGTTCGGGTTTGAATACGGGTTTGGAGGAAATTGAGGTTGAGAGGGTGGGGGAGAAGACGAGGGGTAGTGGGAGTGAAACGGAGAAGAGGAATGGAAGCCATTTTTAGGGGAAATGTGAGGTTTTTGGTGTTTATAAAGATGGATTTTTGTTGTTTGAGGTACAAGTTGTAATGCGTAAGGTACGTTTATATAATGCATTATTTGATGGAAAAAAATAAAAAATGAAACAAAATAATTCGTTGCCGGGACTTGAACCCGGGTCTCTTAAGCTGTAATTTTCAAGATTGGTCGTTATGTGTCGCCACCTCTCACCTATCCTATAGGTTCGATTAAAATTGTGAAGTTCTAGATTTGTCAATTAGTCGTTATGTGTTGCCACCTCTCATCTATCATGTACATTCAATTAAAGTTGTCGTTGTGAAGTTCAGGATTAATCAATTGGTTGTTGTGCCACCTCTCACTTATCGTACACATTCGATTAACGTTGTCTCTGTGAAGTTATAGTTGAGGTACATAGGGTCTTACCGTCTATCTGTTTGGTACACCGCATTTTTACAGAGAATTCAGTTTCACTGAGTCCAGGTCAGAGAGAGAGGGACCATCGCTACATTATTCCGAGCAAGTCGCTATTTATGAGACAAAAATAGGATTTGAGGAGGGTGGTGTATACACAATCTTGCCCCTACCTTGTGAAGGTAGAGATGTTGTTTCTAATAGACTCTCGCTCACTGAAAAGCACCGAGTTTGAAGCATGTTGTGGAGAATAACATGTGAAAAAACAATTTTCACAAAATGAGAGCAAAACCAACATTGTGGAATTTCCAAATCTACAATGTAACTTGAAGTGACTGTTCTCACATGAAAACATTTGGGTGACAGTATACAAAACTGAAGTCAGGACTAGCTTGCACTATATTGCCATAATGTAGGTCAGTAATTTGAAAGAAGATATATCAACATATCGCAATATATTTTCCCCAGTTTCACTTCCTATTTCGCTGGCCTTCATCGATGAGGCAACTTCTCGGAAAAGCCAAAAGCCACATTCTTTGAGTAACAGATGCCTAAAGGAAGACAATTTGTAGTGTGAAAGATCGACTGTGATCTCTAGAAGTCATTTGCCCGCCTCCTTAACTCGTTCAATTCTTTTTCAATCTCTGAATCTTGAAATTGTAATGGCGAGCTTGATCTGGCAACTGGTGTTCTCCCCGGTGGAAGATCTCCTTTCTGCTTAGTCAATAAAAGGAAAACATTAAACCAAAATACCTCAGCTCTAGTCTTGGAGGTTTATAAGGAAATGCTACATCAACAATGAAGCAGATTATGTTTTTTTCCTGATAGATGAGAAAATCTCCCAAGGGCCAATTGGGGCACGGTTTGAAACTCGTGACGTGCTCATAACCCACACATGCTACACTCTTACAACTAGACCAAAGTCTGAGGGCACAATAGAGCAAATTATGCATCCTCAAGTAACTCCCTCACCTTCCCAAGTCGCCCACATATGCACACTAGTTCTGCTTTTACGGATAATACAATTTCATGGCTAGACAATTAACTTAGCCAGAAGTGTGTATAATGGAGAGAAACAACTCATACTTCGTCTCATCTATTTACCATATGTAGTTTGATTTATTAAAATTTGACATCACCTTATAACAATATCAGGGAGACAAAAGGAAAATAGCTTGCCAACATTCATGATTATTTTCTTATATCCTAGAAATTTTGCTGCTTGGTATGGTTAGCATACTTGGCCAAGCATAGCTCAATCTAGAGGGAAAGATTAGTCTGTACTCTAGGTGCCCATACTTCCATTAATTCGTGCTTTTAACAATGAAGACACATCTGAAACATTCATAACCATATATGGATAGATCGAGTACAAAATACCTTTGCGCTTCCAGACAATTCCTTTTTTAAACTGGCAAGATCATCATCAACAGAAGAGGTCTCCAGCAACGCAAACTGTTAAAAGCAGAATGATCATTTAGGATAAAAAAAAATACAATCCCCTAAGAAGCACTAAATTCTCCCACAAAGGCTTTGCATAATGGAAGTCAAAACTTTGTTTGCAGCACAAGCATGTTGTCCTTTTGTGGTGTTTTGTGCTCACAAGAAATGAGTACCGAAACAAAAAATATTTTCACCAATTATGTATGTTGTGAATACGCAAAGTGAGACTAGTTACATTTTGGATCACTTTCCATTTTCACAATAATAAGAAAAAGCACAAGAAGTTAGCCACATTTCCAAATAAAAATGATCAAGAAAGACAAAAGTAAGAACAAAATACAAATAAAGGAGAGAGCGATGAAAAAAGGAGACACCAAATATTACCATTGCTTCAGGTTTCAATAAACATTGGCAAAGAGGAAAATAAGAGGTAATGGATAGTAACAAAACCAGGAAATTTGAAAACTTGCATATTACAGTGTAAGATAGAGAGTTAGAGACACCAAAGAGGAGAGGGAAAAAAAGTTTTTCAGGTCTATTCAAAGAAAGCAACTCTTGGACTAGTACAAAGAGAGAATTACCAAGAGCACATGACCTAAAAGAAGGCAATGCAATTGAGAAACACTAATTACCTTTCCTTCAAGCTCATCACTGGTTAACTGGTTGAGAGCATCAGCTTGAGACTCCATCGTCAAAACTATGGAAAATTGAGAAAAAGTAAGACAATCATTTTAATCAACCACAACTATTTTAGCGCGTGACTAGGGTAGGTGATTCCATAGTTTCAGCGGAACTATATCCAGGATAATCAATTCTTATTTTCAACACTAAAGGTGCATTCAAGGGTGGGAGGAGAATTATTCTATGACAAGAACATTGTCTAAATAGCTGCACAAAAATATGTTGGCTTTACAACAAAAGCACTACTCTTACCAACGTCCTTTTGCACACTTCAATTAATTATTTTCAAAAAAAGTTGCTGACATTGAACATGTGTTTATCTTTCTTTTATAAGCAATGACAGCTGGACTCAACAAACTGTAATAAATAGCAGAGTTCATGCCCACGGCTGAGCTCCTCCTGGATTCTAGCCAACCTTGTGAGATTTTGTTGTCTCAGAAGACATCATTTCATATAATATACATCTAGAGTATCAAACATGAGAGACCAAGGTGAAGATGTTAAAAAAGAAATAAATCATTTGAATCAGTAATTTGACAGTTCTATAAAGGTAACATTTTTGTAGTTGATAGAAGGAAAATGCTGTGACAGGATAAGCATTCAGTCTTATTGTTTGTACATATATGCGGCCAAAAATTCAACCTCTTACAGGTATTACTACAAGACAAGAAAATTTTAAAGTAGAAGCAAAGTAAGCATCTGAAATTGGAAGCAAAAGAAGAAAACATGGAAAGATAAGGTGGAATGTCTGTCAGAACCTTTTTCTTCCATTCTTTCAAAGGCTGAGAGAGCGCTGCTTGTATTTACATTTCCCAACATCTCGCTTACTTTGGTCGCCGTCCTAGATGATAAACCTCATAGTCATTTTCTTGAAACGAGATTAATGAAGTGTGGCAATTTTATGAGCCACATATATTTTCATATTGATGCGATAATTTTATTGATAAGTTGGGGGAAATGCCCCTTACAAGAGGTATAACCAAAAGTGTGAGTCCTGGATATTTGTAATTCAGGATAAATATGAAATGATGAGAAGGAATGTAACTGACTTTGCTGACTGAGCACGTGCTTTCAGAGTATCCTTCTTTGATTTTGCTTCCTGTATCTTGCTCTCCAAAAGCTGCCAGATGAGAGATGACAATAGTCAAAGACAAAAGGTTCCAATTCATTTTTAACATAA